AAAGGATTTAGAATTGGCCCAGGTCAAGAAGAAACTCCATTTTATCAAGTGATAGGGTAATATGGAGTTTATCTTTCAAAATGACTTCCCTAGCAATAGTTTGACTTTGCCATGTAGATGGACGGGAATATGCAAATAAGGCATGTTAGCCTATTTAGAAGGGGACTGGCTATCTATCAATCCACACAAGATGGCTGGATAGTCTCGCCATTAAATTGAGCAATCCAGCAGCAAGAGAATTAGACCTTGTTCAGATTAAGACTGTTAACAGCTTCAGTTTGCTTGACTCCACAGTCAACACTCTCGGTATCAGCAACCAGGAAATTAAAAGATGAATTGCATTGGGAAAGCCTGCTGTCAGAGACCTCTATGAAGTACTGAAGTGCAACGATGTCACTCTGGAGACTAAGGTGTGCCTGATATAGGCCATGGTCTTTGCAATTACTTGCTATGTATCAGAGAGCTGGACAATAACTAGGGATTACAGAGGAGAATTGATGCCTTTGAGGTGTGGTGCTGGAGAAACTTATTGAATACACCATGGACTACTAGGTGAACCAACAGGTTTGCCATAGAGAGGATGAGACCAGGCTACTCCTTGGAGACAAAGATTCCGAAGTTTCCTCTGACCTACTTTGGACATGTTGCAAGGAGGGACCAGTCCTTGGAGAGGGACATCATACTGAAAGGGTGGAGGGACAGCACAGGAAAGAAGACCCTCAATAAGATGGATTGATTCAGTGACTGGGGTAAAGGAGACATAAGGTGTCTGAGACATAAGATTGGCACAAGATGGAGCAGGGTTTAGGAGTGTTGTACATAGGGTCACTATGAGTTGCGGGCAACTCAGCAGTACATAACAGCAACACCGTCACCACCCTGGAGAAGCAAGAAGCAAAAGAATGTAGGACAGCCTTTGGGATCGGACATTCTTGCTTCAGCTACACCTACCCAGGCAGCGGTCATGGCAGATTCAGAGACTTGATGTGAGGTGGGACTCTGGGGACTGCTATACCACGGGAATTGGATCTAAAAGCCTTTGTCCTAGTTTGTTGGACAACTAGGGGTGAGGGACTATGATTCAAAGGACTGAGAACTTTGTAACACTGCCCTAACACTGTGAGGCCTAAGGCTGAGATGCCTGAGAAAACATTTTAGTTCTGACTGTATTATTCTACTTACCTAGATTACAACGTTTTGTTGTGTTTTTTTTTAGATTATAACGTTTTGACTTCCCTAATATAGTTCTGTGTGGTCTGTGAGCTATTGCATTGAATTTTGGACCCACTAAAGCAGTAAGACTGGTGTTGAGATGAATAGAAAGAGGTATGGGAGTGTAGGAGACATAGCTGACCTTATGGGAATTGGTTTTGTGTTATTGATACTGTTGATAGGAACACTGTAAAGTCGGTAAAGGTCAGACATGTTGTCCCATATGGTCTTCCTCTTTTCACAGGTAATTATTTAAAATATCCTTCAGATCTACTTGCTAGTTTTTCAACTAGAGTTTGAAGTTGGTGCTCTCCCTTCTCACAATACAAATAGGAAATATATTGATTAGGTTTGGAAGTACAAACCAGGGTTTCAAACCAGTTTTAGTCATGGTTGATAAAGCAAAACTGAAATGGACTTGAACTGATAACATTTAGTTGAAGTTGAAAGATTACTCGTCTAAGTCCTGGAATGGAAAACTTGAAGAGGCTCAGTGAGAGGATCAGAAAAAGAGGAATCTTCCAACATGATGAATTGACACAGTGATGGTGCAGGGCAGGGCAAGGTTCATAGGATCGTTGGAGTCACAGGAGACTCAACAGCACATAATAAAAACAACTAAACCTGATGCCCTAAGTTTTTAACTCAGGGAGCGCTTCCACTTGGTTTCCAATGAAATACTTCTTTTTCTTACACTTACACAATCATATTAGAGGGTGCTTTATAAATTTAGACCAATATAAGCTAAAATTGCAGGTTTAAAAAGATTTATTTTTTGGTTCCTTTTAGTCTTTTAAACATTTTAAAAGGTGAAAATAAACTGTCTCTTATCTGTCTGACATACTTTGGGCATGTTTCAAAGAGTGACCAGTCCTTGGAGAGGGACATCATGATTGCCAGGGTGGAGGAACAGCACAAGAGAGGAAGACCCTGGATGGGATGGATTCACTCATTGACTGGGGTAATGTGGGTGTGTCAGATGATGAGATTGGCTCAGGATAGAGCAGGGTTCAGAGCTGTTGTACATACTTACATAAGTATGTTGTACATACTTACATGCTGTACATACATACTTAACAACAACATATACATGTCTATGAGGATGGCACATGATCAGGCAGACTTTTGTTCTGTTCTACAAATGATCAGTACGAGTTAGAACAACAGTATCTCATATTCAAGCTTCCTTTTTTCTTGCTCTAGGTTTCTGGAGAAAGTTTAAGTATCGACATATCCTGAATCATTGCCTTTTCCCACTTCTGGTTTCTGGTAGCATAGTCCATAGTGAGTTGTGCTACAAACCTAAAAGTGGTACCTCTCTAGTGATGTGGATCTTCCAGCCACTGGGCAGGAGAAAGATTGGAATTCTCCTCCCATGCCATTTACACCCTCTCAAAACCAATTGGAGGGTCAGCTATGAGTTGATTCTTCTAACTTGAGGGCAATGAGTTTTAAATTAAGTTTCTAGCTAAGTGCCTTATCCCATGTAGATAATTTGTCAAATTGAAAAAGTCACTGGGTCTAATCCAAAAAAACCCTAGCATATTCCACTCTGTGAGGAACTAAAAATGGTGGGGTTCAGGTAAAAACTAGTATAATTCATTTCTTACCAGAGATATGTTTTTTAACAAGATCTGGTTACTTAATGTGAAAGACTGACGTAGCAAAAATAAAATTCCAAGACTGTTCTCAAATATGTATTGAATGAATAGATGACTGTTAAGTAAAAAGTGTTATGAGGATCATTAACACAACCTTCCCAGTCCTTAGCAATACTTATATTTTATTTCAAAGATGAGTTCCTGAAATGCTTTCCTTGGAAATTTAAAATTTCCTCTAGGTCAAGATCTAGATCTCTTTTTCCTTTTTTAAGGTACTCTAGTTTTTAAAGATCTAACTTATTATTTACAACTGTTTTAAAAGTGCTCTAAACCAAAACCGACTCCTATCACTAAGACTGGGTAGAACTGCCCCCCC